ACCGTAGAGGTACTGCCTCCAAATCTTCAGCGCATGAACAATGGCTGCCAATTCTAAGTCATAAACATGATAATTCTTCTAGTGAACTTTCAATTGCCGCGACGCATATGCAATTACCTTGCCATCTTGCATTAATACTGTACCAAGCCCAATGTGAGAGGCGTTACAATATACTGTATATGATGCTGAACCTGTGGGTAATAGTAACACTAGCGTTGTAGTCAAAGCGGTCTTGAGCTTCTGAAAGCTCAACTCACACTCGTCTGACCATCTAAATGGGGCACCCTTCTGGGTCAATCTAGTCTTAATAGTTGTTCATAATCCATTACAGAATCGTCAATTAACTTCATGTTAACAAACATCTCATTTCAAACCTTCACAATACTAATAACGGGATGCGAGGCATGAAGACCTCATAATTATTTACCCGAATTAATGAGTCATATTTAACGCCCCCTGGGCGGGCACCTACCTCACAGTTACAACTCAATATTACAACACGCATTTGGCAAGTATGCACAGAGAATTTCATACAATTTTTTTTTTCAAATAAGCCTAGCAGGCAGGACTCCCTATTAGTACTATAGTAAAAATTTAATTTTCACAAGGGAGAATTTAAAAATAAGAATTTTTATCACAAGGATCTCGTCCTTATATAACTTCCACCGCAGCTCATAGTCCGGTTTAAACATATCAATTTATTTTAAAATATGAGGACCTCGGCCTCAGTTCTGAATCACAAGTAATATGCACATCTTGCCAATCGAAACTTTCCATTTTATCCTTTTAAATTACTTTCGTTAAACAAAATCACAACACATAATGAACCCCACACCGGTAGGGCATATAATTCACAATTTGTAATTAATTATCCGGAAATACATCAAAACATGCCGAAATATGTACCAGAAAGGCTCATTTAGCCTCACAGATCTTATTAGAGTCCATCATGGAATGATAAGTGTAGTTATCTCCATAAAACCTCCCAACAGAAGTAAACACATAAGTAGATTATAGAATTACGAAGCTCACTCATAAGTGGAGCACAATAGGAGGACTCGTCTTGATACTCAGAACCGAATAAAGTTAAGGAAATTATTCCTTTATTTTAAATCGAGGTCGAACCTATAATGACACCATCTGATGTAACGAACTCCACCATACCATAAAACAATTATAACAACGGTTGGGTCTCCACCTCTAGGGCGCCTTCTACCCGCCTATCTTCCATCCTTATCTGATCATGTGGGCGGTGTAGTAACTGCAATGGGGCATGTAACCTGAGTGCTTTGATGAAATATGCCTCTCCCAAGTTTGGGACAATTTTCTCATGATGTGCCAGATAACTGAAATAACCATTGTGGGAAACTCATGTCAGTGATGCATTAAAAGAACTTACTGGAGCACATCGATTAATCCGATGTGCGAACTGGGTTGGCCGACTACTCGAGCCCCCACCATGATAATTTATACTCGCAGAGTAGAATCCACTGAATCTCCCAGAACCTCGAGACGTCTTGGTCTCCTTAGTTTCTTTTTTTTTTCCTCACCCTGGACACGTTCTAATATCTTGGCAATTTCTACCACTAGTGGAAATGAAGTATCAGTCCGTAGCTCCCGAGTCATACAAAATTTTACGACCATAATTAAGTCCTTTAATGAGTCTGTGGACTCGCACTCTGGCTGTAAGAAGCAAAGTAGGAATATGATGGACTAACTTATTAAACCTGATGGCATATTATGACACCGTCATGGTGACCTGACGCAATTGTCCAAACCCTATGCGCCATGCATTACGGAGAGTCCGAGAAACAAACTCTTTCAAAAGTATTTTTGAGAACCAAGCCAAGTGGGCGGTGTTGTATTGGCTGGTCTGCCCTCTTCATAGGCTTACCACAGACACCTGTGGAGAATTATCTCTCCCAAGGCCAATTTCTTCTTTTGTTATGCTGACTCAACACTGTTGAGCTGACCCATTTCTTAACATACTCTTCGATTCTTCTTTGGGGTAAACTTTACCCCTATTTATATCAATGATTACAAAAGTAGAGCTCCATATCGACAATTCTTAGTCCAAAATCTCGTCAACCACTGTACTTCCTCCGAAGCACCCCAAAATTCGCAACCGTGACGTCCACGCTGAGTAGACCTTCTGTAAATTTAATGTTGTTTCTCTAACTCCTTTGGTACTGAAGTATAAGATGATTGCAAGTCCCAACCTTATCCTCCACAAAATCTAAGGCCTTAAACACATGTAAATATTTTATTTTGGGGAGAACCTTTCAGTGCCACATATATATATTTCAGGCCAAAACTGATATAACACATGACTCGCAATCCATTCATTGATAGTGGACTCCCCCACTCGGCGCGAAGTCATAGTTCACCACGTCCGATGGTCCACAATATTGACCTTCACAACTCGTATAAATCAACCAGATGCCAAGGTACGTTGCACCCCCACATTATTCACTGGGTGATCTCTTTATACGTCTGCATCTTCAGTTGGAATCATACGTTGAGGCAATGTTTGAGCATCTCTGGCTCCCTCGTAGTTCATCTGCGGCATCAGGAACCGTCGACACATAACTGATACCGAGTGCGCAATGTCATACACGAGTAGATACAAAGGAATGTGAGATATAGGTTTCAAGCAAAATCAATGTTGCACGATAAAGAATGAAAGTGGTGATATTGTTCCTATACATCATAGCCTCTGAGAGATAAGTACAGACGTCTCCGTACCGATCCTTCAGACTCTACTAAGCTTCCTCGTGACTCGTGAAACCTATGTAACCTAGTACTCTGATACCAACCGTCACGGCTCGAAATTTTTCACCGACGGGACCGTGATGGCTGTTAGTGGATGGATTATTAATGGTTGAGACTTATTTTGGTTAATTGGTAATGTTATTGTTGTTTGGATTGATATTAATATGTTTGGTTGTTGATTTTGTGATAGGAAGGTTTTTGGAAAGTCCAAAAATAGGAAAAACTCTGTCCAATTTTCTGTAAAATACCAATGAGGCTTATTTGGGAGCACTTGCTCCTAAGAGCCAGTTATGATCCTAAATTGGGTCGTGACAAATTTGGTATTAGAGCCCTAGGTTATTCTTGTGACTAATGGAGCACACGTTAGTAGTAGAATCTCAAACATGGTTATGTAGCCGGCCATTTCCATAATCGTGATTCTGCGAGGGCGTGATAGGATGTGTTTTGTCTTTATTTCTTTTGATTTTTATAACGGCCAAAAAATATTTAAACTTCAAATGTTGTTATAGGTTTATAACAATCATTCACTATAAAACAACAACAACAACAACAACAACAACAACAACAACAACAACAATAACCCATTATAATCTCACTAGTGGGGTTTGGGAGGGTAGTGTGTACGCAAACCTTACCCCTACCCTGGGGTAGAGAGGCTGTTTCCGATAGACTCTCGGCTCCCTCCCTCCAAGAATTACCTATCTTGTTGTTGGGGTAACTCGAACTCACAACCTTTTGATTGGAAGTGGAGGGTGCTCACCACTAGAGCAACCCACTCATTCACTATAAAAGTAAAAAAAATATCGGAATAAATGAAGTTATTATAGAGAGGGTTGATTGTATATGGGTTGTAGTATATCTTGAATCTCTCCGTGCAGTGATACTCAGGGTACGTTATAGTCTCTAATATTATCTGATTAGTACGATTGCACTTAAAAGCTTAAATTGTAATTAAACGTATAATTTTAAATAATCGCAGTTTGAAGATATTTCATACACTATAAAATTAGAAAGCAAGAAATTAGTTGTTTATCCATAGCACAGCGAAAGCAAATTCGCATATTCAAAGATTTAAGTTATATTCACCATAAATGTGATTATTTTTTACTCCATTAGGTTACCTTTACATTCTGTTTGGATCATTGTTACCATCGTTTTATAATGTATTGTATCGTTTTATGGATACAACGTTTGAATAGATTGTATTGTTTATTATTGTTAGTAACATTTTTTTTGTTTGGTTTAACTGTATCGTATTGTACTGTAACTGATAAGTTTACTAAAATATCCTCAATTGTTTTAAATATTAAATTTATCAAGAATTGCACATAAAAATAATTTAAGAAAATCCCTAATTTCTGCTAATTTATCTCCAATTATGTCTTATAAACAGATTAATCAATTAACTTTATGCAAATTTTAACAAAATTAATGGTACAAGTTAGTAATATTTAGAATAATAATAAGTACACTCTATTCATAATTAGATCATAACAATAATATTAAGAAAAAGAAAATATTAAGTAAAGAATAATGACCATGAAATGAACCAAGACAAATTAGGTAAGAATGACAGAACTTATTCTTGTTATCTCTCACCGTGGAGTTGGCAAAGAAAAAATGGGAGGAAGAAAAAGTAGGTTATAGGTTGGAGATTTGGAGTGAAAATAAAAAAAAAAAAAGTAAAAGGTAAAATAGAATTATGGAGTAATAAAGAATGACATAATTGAAAAAAAATACGAAATAATCCCAGCACGCCAAATCGGTTGTTTCAAAATATGAGTCTTTTCATTGTTCCGGAACGATGAATTTAACAATACAATATAATACAATCAATTTTAACTAAACAATCAAAACAAACATTGTTTTAAAATAAAACAACAATACGATACAATGAGTAACAACCATCCAAACAAGCTGATACTTATTAAGATTAGAAGTCTAACATTTTAACGAGGTTTACCTATAGATATATTTTAAACTTCTTAACCATATGAAAATTTTTGTAACGATATATATAACTTAAACTCGAAATAAAACTTTTTTCCATAGTCAGGTCATTCAAGAATAAGACACTTTGCCAAGATTTTTCGAGCTAGATTATTGTCAAGAGAATAATAACATTTCAGACGGTCTACCTTTTGGGGGAAATAAATAAATTTTACAGCAGAAACAGAAAGAAATGTTTATCCCACAAATTTAAATTTCTCATAGTGTGAGGAAATATGTTCAGAACAATAATATGTTAATCAGTTTAACTTCAAGAAGATACAAATGTTAATCTAACTCACATTTCTAATACTATAATGTTATTGATGCCAAAACCTCAAAGCAACATAAGCCAAAATCCTAAAAACCACCAACATCACAACCAAAGCTACCAAATCCAATACCAAATTATCAATGCCAAGACATTTAATAGCTGGAAAATCCATCACTCTGCATTCTTCACCAATTCCACACTCATAAACTTCAAACCTCGAATACTGAACTCCCACAAGAAGTTTGTAACAATAGTGACTAAACGAGACATATTTCAACCACGCGACGAACGATGGAATGTGCTGAATATAGTATCCACTGGCTAGTAAAAACACAAGCATCAACACTGAAGATAACGTTGTAGCTTGTTTAACATCCATCAATATTGCACCCAAGGCCAGGCCAAGTCCTTGAGCAACTAGCACATTTAATAGAATGATTAAAAGGGTTAATAAAAACGCGATTATCGAAGGTTTTAGACCTCCCATCCAGTATGTTACTGTCACAAAAATTGTTGGAAGTATAAGTTCCATAGGTAAATCACCCACAGTTCTTGCAAAATAGTAAGATGAAAGTCTATACATTCCAGAGGAACGTTCCCTTATAAGCATTGGCCTCTCTTGTGGGAATGCAAATATTGCACTGAATAATGGAAAGAATCCCCAGAATATTGAGAAGAAAAATAGTAATCCCACCTGTTAAATTAGAAAATTACCTTATTAGAAAGCTGTTGTGAAAGTAATGAGCTATACTGTTCGGATTCTCCAAAATGTTGGAGTACTCGTGTCCGGATCCTTCAAAATTACACTATTTTTTAAGGATTCTACATGAACCCAACAGCATTTTGAAACAAGCAGTGTAGGTAACGAGTGGGAGGAGTAAATGACGATTTCAATTAAAAAATAAAGACTAATCTTTTTTCCTAAGATGATCAAAAGTGATCTTTAACCAATATCAAATTTTCTTTAAATTATGATGTCTAAGAGGGAACTTTCTACATTTAGTAAACTTAGAAATATAAACATTTTTAATCATTCCTTATAAGTTGAATCTTTGCTATTTGAAGAAGTATGAAATAGATCAATCTCTCCTATTGAGTCACATGTAAGACTGAGCGATCATTCAATTAGTCTAGCACAATATTTTTATAAACATCGAATTATAAAATGAGATTGTGTTACGTGCCCAGATAGTATAAATTTGTTTTACAATATTAGGTTAACTAGATCTAAAACATCAAGTAAAATTTTAAGTTTGATATAGTAACCTGAAAAATAAAGTAATAATCTGCTATAATTAGTTATACTGCACTAAAAGTATAAAAATACTTTACACTACAAGTATATATTACAAATTAAGTCTTTTAAGATATGTGGAGCTTAAAATTTTGAATGATATCCTTGGGGGATAAAAATAAAGAGAAGTCGTAATGTTGGGAGAGTAAACAAATTTTTATACTATCAATGTAATTTAACATATTATAGCAGATTGCCTGCTATTGTTTGGGTTATTAATTTTACTTTTACTTATTACTATTAGTTACATGGGTAGTTACTACCTTTTAGCTGATTTGGTATAAAAATTCATTTATATTTTCAATTTATAAAAGTTAAACAGATAGGTAAATTACCTGATCCATTATATGGTTAGTATCAGAGTGCCACCAAAGGAGTCCTGAGAGAAATGAAACAGACATGACTTGGAAAATTCTTAAGCCTGAATAAGACTCATGTTTGCGTTCTTTAAGTCCTCTTTGTAGCAAAACTTTGAATTGTAACCACCAACTTGTGGTCCATTGATTTTCATCACGACCTAAAAGAACATACCTCTCATTATTATCAAAAAATGAAATGTACAATCAAATTGTAGACGAAGTTCAGCACAAAGTTGAACCGATTAAGTTTAAACCGTGATAAATCCGCCTTTGGATACCACGAAGTTATTGTGACTAATTCAGAAAATCGATAACTAAAAGTGGAGCCCGGTGAGCATTTTCGTGTTCAAGCAGGGTCCAGGGTAGGACGCACCTTAAGGGTGTGATGTAGACAGGCTACCCTAATGCAAGCATTAGTGGCTGCTTTCACGACTCAAACCCGTGATCTATGGGCCACACAGAGACAATTTTATCGTTTCCCCAAGGCTCCCTTCTGAAAATCGATAACTAAAAAGCCTGGTGTACAAAGCATCTCGCATTCAAGCAGGGTCCGAGGAAGAGCATCACCCTAAGGGTATTAATTAATGTTGACAACCAACTTGCATTAGTGGCTGCTTCCACGGCTCGAACCCCTGACCTATAGGTCATGACACAGAGACAACTTTACCGTTGCTCCAAGGCTTCCTTCCAGAAAATCGAAAACTAGAAAAGAAAAAAATATTTTCACATACTTCTTGATGATAATCGAATCGGGTGCCTGAAACTTTGATCAATTTCCTCCTTCAAAGCTGGATAAATGTTCTTCTTGTAGGAGGCTATTAAGAACTGTTTGGTTGCATTTTGATTTTCAGTTTGATCTGATTTTGGTAAAGATTCATGCAGATCATCCTGCCTAGTATCAGGAGACACACCTGTATAATTAAAAAAAAAAAAATCTAGAGTTAAAAATATATTGTAGGTTTAAAGTTATTATAAGCTACATTTGACTATGAGATTATTTGGACTTAAAATTGAAAGATAATGGGACCAAGTAAAAAGTAAAAGGAAAAAAATTTATAAAATGCAGCTTAATTAAAGGGATAAAGCAAAGACAGACAAAAAGTTTTATATATATATATATATATACAAGTAAAACAATGTTTAATAAATCCCAATAGACTAACTTTTGATCACTGGCTAATTTGCTAAATTGGGTCTTGATTGCTTCACCTAAGTATATTATTGATCCCTTTAATTAGGACATCTTTAATTTGATTAGATTTAAATAAAAAATTATCAAAACTCACGGATGAAAAAATATAAAAAAACACAGGTAACATAATCAGGGGCGAATATATATAATTTGCACTATCGGGTTCATTTGAACATGAGTTATTCTTGTTTATTTCATTATTATTATACCAAACCACTCTATAAAATTTAGATTTTGGATTCTTTTTCTGGGTACGTTTCAAAACATAAATGATGACGTGAACACATATTCAGATGCTTTATAAAAAGCTAAATACTTATAAAGTAGAAACAGACAGCACCTTCCAATAATGTTTCCCTTTAGCTTTCATTTGCAATTGTTGGTTGATGATAGTAATAAAGCTTTAAATAATGTGTGCCAACCAGGGAATAATATGTCCTATCAATATTTTTATAAATACGTGTCCAAAAATTTAATGAAAAAGTTTAGTGCAAATCAAATGTAAAATCTCAAACTCCTATTACATGTAGCCAGTTGGCATGTTGAAATATGGTCCTAATATTCTTCAGAAAAGCTCAATTTCAAAGAAAGGGACATCTAAATTGTTAATATCAATTAATTTCAGCTTCTCTAATATATACATTTTTTACATTATTAGGTTATTTTGAAAAAATTACATTTAATCGTCCATATAATCTGTCGATATATACATAAATTTTATTTTCAAATTATCCACGAAATATCTAATCTTGGAAGGTGAAAAGGAAAATATGTATATTATGGATAAAGAATGTTTAACCACAAACAGGAAAAGAACACAAAAAAGTTATATTACTAATATATTGTATCTAATAGAAGAAAAAAAAAAACTCCACATGATTTTAGGGAAATGATTCACCAGTTATGGACAATTTTCTATAACTTTTCTTGACTTTTAAATTTGTTCGGGCTTCTTTATTGACTTTACTTAACAAAACTTTGTTTTTTCTTATTAGCCATGAATCTGACTTGTGATTTACGTTCAATAGGGAAAAATGACTAGCCAGATAGACGAACAATGTTTGGACATAAAAATTATAATTTTTTTAAAAAAGTAATTTTTAGAGTTAAGTTGAAAAATAGTGTTACAATTTGAAATTATGTTTGAACATATCACTCTACAAAATATTGCAGATTTGCATAGTGTAAAAAACTATTTTTCCTAAAAACATAAAAAAATAGTCAAAACTACTTTTGGGTTTTGAAAAACTCTTTTTCAAAAAGATTCCAAAAACTTACAAATTTTCATGACAAACACGTTTTTTTTAAAAACAATCCTGAAAAAAAGGAAAAAAAGTTCATGGACAAACGGATCTTCAATGTATTAACATAATATAAACTGGAATAATAATAAAAGTAATAGGAAAAAGGAAAAGAGTGTCATACCATTAGCTAAATCAAGCAGAAAATCAGCAGGGTTCATGAAATCAAATCCAGGAACATAACCAATGGATTCAAAATACTCCATAACATGGCTGTTTTTCCCACAATAAATTGGACAACCTTCAGTTAACACAATAATCTTATCAAACATTCTGTACAACTTGCTCGACGGTTGATGAATTGTTGTAACAATCGTCCTTCCACCTCGAGCCAACCATCGTAACGTTGCAACAATTCTTTGAGCTGTAGTCGAATCAAGTCCTGAAGTTGGTTCGTCGAGTAATAATAAACTAGGGTTTACTAGCATTTCTTGTCCAATACTTACCCTTTTTCTTTCTCCTCCTGAAATTCCTCTGAATAAAGACCCACCAATTATGCTATTTTTGCACCTTGTTAACCCTAATTCGACGATAACAAACTCTGCATGTTCGGTTTTTTCTTGTTTGGTTAATTTTTTTGGTAACCTTAATAAAGCAGCATATGTTAGTGTCTCGAGCACGGTTAAATGAGGATATAATACATCATCTTGTGTCACGAAACCAATTTTTCGTTTCATATAACTCGAAAATTGTTGTCCATTGTATGTAATGGAGCCAGTGGATAATTTTCCAGGGAGTCTTTCAGCTAAAGCTGTTAATAGAGTTGTTTTTCCACTTCCTGATGGACCTAACATAGCTAAAAATTCACCAGGATGAACTATACCTGTAACACCTTGTAATATAGCGCGATTTTGCTTTCGTTGTGGTGTTGAAAAATAACTTATTCCTTTGTTGCTTTCTAATTTTATGGTGTATGAAATATCTTCAAACTGCAATGTTTAAAATCAGACGTCTTAATAGTAGTTTAAGCTTTTAGATGAAATGCAGACGTCGTCGTAGTAATCAGATCATCATATTAGAGAATGTAACGTAAGTTACTTTGAGTGTCACTGGATGTAACGATTCGTGAAGAACTGATAACTTGACATGATTTGATTGCTGTTGATTATCTTGGAAATCATCATTAGCACAAGGACTAACTTGATCAGGAGGCAGCATTTTCAAGTTCTATATATATAAGAATTAAAATAAAGCTAAGTTTTTTCAACACTCTTGAATGAGGAAGAAGAGGAGGAGAAGAAGAAAGAAAGAAGAATGGTAGCAAATTAAAGGAGAAAATAGACTAAAATGATTATGGAAAGAGAAGATTAAAGAATGAAAGGGAAATCACATGCAAATAAAGAATAGACAAAAAGGAGAGGAAATAAGAGAGATTTAGGAAAAAAGCAAATTTCCCTTTCACAGTTTCTACTTTATTTATTGTAAATGCTTCCCTATTTATACATGCAATAAAGTTTGTTCATCTCCGACACATCACTATTCTTTATTTCTTCTTTTTTAAAGTATAAATAAGTACACTATATACCCAATAAGAAATTACTAGTAGAAGAAAATCAATAATCTAGGTGTTTTTTTTTATTATTTAAATCTCTCCGAAATTAGGACTTCTCTCCGGCATGACTCGAACCCAGGACCTAACGGTCGTGGGTGGAGGTTCTTTACCAACTGAGCAAGCCTCACTTGTCATAATCTAGGTGTTGTATTACTAGTTTATTGGGTTCATTAAAAAGTTGTCGGCCGCATTTATTGTTTACTGTTTTAAATCTGTATATATAAATTGTATATGAAATATATACGATTATATATATATATACGATT